GTAGCTGAGTGGTTATAGTGCTCGCCTAGCAATAAAAAGGCTGCCGGATCGATTCTGAGAAAAGTAAATAGCTTTTAGATGGTTCTTAACCGGACCCAGCTATGCCTCATCTTTGGGCTTTTAATAACCACCTAGGTGACACACCAATCTAAAAGAAATGATAATATTAATAATTATGATTGTAATGATAAAGAACAATATACACAAACAATGCATATCCCCTAAGTGATACTAAACACATTTAATATATTACATTATTGTAGTCAATAATGGTCTTAAAGGTGCTTACACGTGGCATAAAAGCTTTGATAAAGTATCTAAATAAGGAATCAAATTTCAAATTCGAAACAAACCATTGTTGTATTTGGTTTATTTAGTTCTGCTCACTTTGGAAGAATACGGGTTATTATTACGGAGTATTCAAAATGCACAAGTGAGCTGAATAGATGCGTTATCTATTGATTTTTAATGTCACTTGATTGATTTTTACTGATTGTTTAAGATTGAAAATACGGGATTAAAAGGTTTATGCTGTATTGACGAATACAATTTTGTACTTAATGTAAAATAATCAAATATTTAGGTGCCAAGTGCTCAGCATGGCATAGGAAGTATTGTAAGCAAGGCAGATAATACCTTATTAAGCCTTAAAATTTCAATATGAGGTATTAAATTAACAAAAATGAGATTCTTTTAACTTGATCTGTACGTCAAATATGTTTTTGCTCACGAGTATTCACGCAAAATATCATAATGATACCGAATAAAAAAGTGTACTGAGTCTACATAGAATTGTCTCAAAATTGTAAATGCTTAATTTTACAAAAAATATCCCATTTAACAATAAACCAATGTAAAATAAAATGTTTATAATTCCAAATGTCCCATTATCTTATTATGTGTTTAAGTTGAAGTTTTTTTACTTAAAACTCAGTCCTTGATTATTTCAAAGTAAAAAGGATATTAATATTTTATTTGTTGAACCAAACTTCAATATTAGGAATTATTCCCACTTTTGTCTAAATTAGCAATTTATATTTTATTGGTGAATTGAGCTTCAAACCTGTCTAGGGAGCAGGATTTATTGTGATGTTTATTAGTCGTCTGTGAATGAAATGAAATTTGATTTGTACTTTAAAGTAGGGTAACAATATTTATAAATACGAAGAAAATTTATGTAAAGGGAAAATGCGAGTCAAAAATTTGCCAAAAACATTTACTTTTTAACAAAAAAGCTTTGATATCATCCTACAATTCAATCCTTTTGAATGACAACTCTTGATATGAACCTTTTCTAAGAAACTCCCTTTTTTAGAAAAAGTAAGAATTTCCTGCTTCAACTTATGACCACATACCCATGGTGTATGATTTTTATACCTTTATTACCTTCAAATTGAATCTTTACGCATTCTAACCCCAGGTACTAGACCCTCTAGTTCGTGACTGAACACATTCTGTGTCAAAACAAATTATTTTGTATATAATTTTCATACTTATAAGTTAACTTACAGAATAGGTGGATACCTCTTCAGTAATTTTTATTTCCTCCCATAAAATATGTATCAAAACCCCATAAAGCTATTCACATGACTTGTAGCCTATAGAGTAAACATGGTTATTCTTGTGGTTGTTAAACATAAACTCCTTGCTTCAGACAGCGATAGATAATATTTAACAGGTGCACAATTCAATAAGACGCCATTTTCTCGATAATGGAGTTGGAAATTATTTAGTTAAAGCAAAACTGTTTTCACCATAACCACAGATTCAGCAAATGCCAACGCATCTTCTTTTAATCTATTCTATTTCTTTAATGTATGGATTTTAAGTTGTAATTTTTATCCTAAAATGTAGTTTTGAAAAAGCATGTGATTAGTAAGCAATATACAGTTATGAAATATACATTATGCAATGTAAACTATTTCCAAACAAATTAAACTAAGGGTATCAAATTATTTTGGGTTTCTAACAATTCCTAAGGATGTAAAGACCCCATTTTCAAAATTCTACCTCCCCAAAAAAATTCCATAAAAATTTCGTTTTTTGGAAAACATATTTTTTTTAAACGGCTGTAGCTCGAAAACCGTAAGAGCTAGAATCGATTTGAGGGAAAATCGTAGGTTCGCAATTAAATTTTCTACAAGACAGTTTTGTCAATGAAGGCGTCATATCGAAATTCGCACTCCTTCACCTTCAAAAAACGCTTTAATTCCAAAAATTGTGAAAATCCCCGATTTTTTACGTGTTTTTAATTTTTAAGACGATTTTTCGTATACATATTTCCACTTTTTATGCTCCCAAAATTGAGAGGAAAGTCCCCAAAATGACCTTCTATAACTTTAACCTACGGGAAAAAATTAAAAATGGTGGATTTTCAATCAAAAATATAATTTTTAACGCATTTTCTTATGGAGAATTAGCATGTTTAGACAGGCATATAATTGGGCACTTCTAGACGTTCCAGGGAGTTGAAATTTGGCACGCATATGGGTCTTGGGTTCGAACGCCCGGGAAAATTCCGAAAAGTCGCCTTTTTCCCTTTCAATCCCCCTTATATTTACAATTTCCCCCCCATGTTATTCTTATGGGAAATTAAATTGAAAAATACAGACATTCGTACGCTCATGTGAACCGTTTAGAAACGTGCTAGAGACTTAAAATTTTGTAGTTTTGTAGTACGGGATCTTACATTACCATCTTACATTACATTACTAATAGAAAATGATAAAGATTTTTGCAGAAGCGAGGTCAGCCCCCGAAGTGTACAAATGGGGGCCCATTCTTATTACTGATGATTTTAACCCCCCCCCCCCGGCCCCCTAAGGGGGCCTAAGACTTTCTATAAATATTGTTACCTCCTCAAACCCCTTAGATTGTAACGTTATTGCTATATTATTATCGCTAAATCTAGGTATACAGTAAATACCTTAGAAGGTTTTGGAGCACCAAACACACTTCGAGACTCTAATATGTCAGGACTTGTTTAATCATCTCCTAATCATATACCCTTTATGAATTACCTAGCAACCGCATAGTTATCATAATATTTAGACGCAGAAAACATTATCAGACAAAATCATGTCCCCCGGGGAACATTCCCACTACCCCCAACCAAAAAAGGGGCCAATTTAATGATTAATGTTCATGGTTAATGTTCAATTTCATGGTTTTACGTTTCGCAGTCGTTCTTTAATTAATGTTTAAATGTTTCGTGCGTGTTTTCGTGTGTGTAAATGTCTACATGTTTATTGTGTAACCATGACGAACTCAACACCGAGGGATGTTTTATAAAGAAGCTGGCGTTCAACAAACCTGAAGATGCGCCAGTAATAGGCATGAAACAGCTGTAGTTTCGTAAAACTACCGAGGATCGATGACAGAAGCCAGGTAATTTAAACCTTATTAGTGCAAAAAAGGGGACCTAGGGGCGGAGCCCCCAGCGAGCCAAAGGCGAGTTGTATTGATAAAACGACCTCTAATAAGACATAAATAGTAGATGAGGTAATACAATGGGTTTCTAGAATACCAATACTTCTGCACGTATGCTGCCTGAGGTCTCTTAGGCAAGCCAATAATATGGTAATAGGACGATAAACAAGCTCTACTTCAAAGCGTATCACTATATGTGTAACTGGTAACGTATACAAATGTTTGGGCACTTCTAGATGAGCTAGAGACGTGAAATTTTCGGTGTTTTGTAGGTCTAGTGCCCAAACCCCCGGAAAAAATCATTTTCCTCTTTTAACCCCCCCTAAATTAACAATTCCCCCCCATGTTATTCTTATGGGAAATATCGTTGAAATACACCAAATTTGGTAAGCTCATCTGAACCGTTTAGAATCGTGCTAGAGACTTGGAATTTGCGTATTATTGTACTATGGGATCTTACATTACTGGTGAAATTCGTAAAAACCCCATTTTGAAAATTCTACCTCCCCAAAAAAATTCCATAAAAATTTCGGTTTTTGGAAAAACATGTTTTTTTAAAACGGCTGTAGCTCGAAAACCGTAAGAGCTAGAATCGATTTGAAGAAAAATCGTAGGTTCGCAACTAAATTTTCTACAAGACAGTTTTGTCAAAGAAGGCGTCATATCGAAATTCGCACTCCTTCACCTTCAAAAAACGCTTTAATTCCAAAAATTGTGAAAATCCCCAATTTGTTTACGTGTTTTTAATTTTTAAGACGATTTTTCGTATATATATTTCCACTTTTTATGCTCCCAACATTGAGAGGAAAGTCCCCAAAGTGACCTTCTATAATTTTAACATACGGAAAAAAATTAAAAATGGTGGATTTTCAATCAAAAAGATAATTTTTAACGCATTTTCTTATGGAGAATTAGAATAATTAGACAGGCATATAATTGGGCACTTCTAGACGTTCCAGGGAGTTGGAATTTGGCACGCATATGGGTCTTGGGCCCGAACGCCCGGGAAAATTCCGAAAAGTCGCCTTTTTCCCTTTCAACCCTCCTTAAATTAACAATTCAAGGATCATATCTTCCTTCCTTGATTGATATTTAAGTATTTTTAATTTAGTAATTGATATCTCAGTAAGGTAAATAGGGAGGATTAAGACTGTTCGTAGTTGTAGTTTACTTTCTATACACTACGCATCTGGGGTTTCTTTTATTATTTTTAAGATTGCAACTGTTTTTAGTTTAAATATTCTCCTTAATTATCCTCTTTCCAAATGCATTATATGGTAATACATTCTGCAGGAGATTGGTTAACACATTCAGGACCATGTAACACAATAATCCTCATAAACGAAGGCAAGGTATTATGATCACTGCTATTGTGCCACAACTAAATCTTTCTACACCATGTCTTTTTTTAATTCTTTAAACTATAACATTTTGTCTAAATAAACAACTATTAGAAGCATAGAGGACGATAATTTATTCGATGGTACATGACAAGAAGGAAATTAGACAAAATATAATTATTGTGACGCCTGATTTACCGGCTCTGGAGGATTGTTGGGAGACTCCCCAGCTTAAGCTTGAGGAGCAGATAATTCTTCGTGTTTGCGACCTCGACGTCTGCGCGTGCTTCTACGAGACCTGCGTCTTCGACGAGCCATGGTGAGATCATCTAGGTCATCTCTTCTCCTAGCGTGTCTTGTAGATCTCTTACGGCGAAGACGAGCCATGGTGAGATCGTCGGAGTCATCTCGCCTCCTAGCGTGTCTTGTAGATCTCTTACGGCGACGACGAGCCATGGTGAGATCGTCGGAGTCATCTCGCCTCCTAGCGTGTCTTGTAGATCTCTTACGGCGACGACGAGCCATGGTGAGATCGTCGGAGTCATCTCGCCTCCTAGCGTGTCTTGTAGATCTCTTACGGCGACGACGAGCCATGGTGAGATCGTCGGAGTCATCTCGCCTCCTAGCGTGTCTTGTAGATCTCTTCCGGTGACGACGAGCCATAGTGTGATCGTCGGAGTCAACAATGCGACGTCTTATAGACCTACGTCTTCTTCGAGCCTGGATAATGCTATGTCTCCTGAGTCTTTTGCTAATAGACCTTTTCCTGCGTCGAGCATCTATCAGTTCACTGTCTGCTTCACGTTGCCGTCCCGTTTGTCGACGGCTTCTCCTTTTGTACCGATATCTTTGTTGTCTGCGACCGCGGGCTGCGACTACCTCATCATTGTCGTCGTGACGTCTAGCTCTTCGACGCTTTAGTGATCGTTTGCGTCTCCGACGTGCCTCCAAGATTGTGTTCAGTGCAGGGTGAGGGTAGAAGCGGTTTTGTCTGACAGTCAAGAATCCCTTTTCTACTGCTAGTTTCAAAGACTTCTTATAGTCCGGGAGAGTTTTGAGGCCGTAGTTGTGACGTAGAAAGTCAGCGACATCTGAGACGCTAACTCCTTTCTTCTTATCGAGGTACACCACCGCTGTCACGACAAGACCTACATTTTGATTACACCTACACGCTCTCAACATTTTGTCCAAATTTGAATTTTCTCGCAGCTAATTTTGATACACCTTTTCTATGAAGATTAATTTAAAAGTGAACTGTTGCTACGCAACATATTTTTATTACAATATAAGTGGTTTAAGTATTTTATGCAATCCAAATGGTTAGTTTTGGTTTAACACCGGAACCGTCATCAGGCTTCACAAGAAAATTGTCGCTTCTTGAGAAGGTCGTCACAGTTCACACAAAAAATTGCAAAACATCGAAACATTAAAAACACGACACGCATCTCTATATTTATCTCTTCTAGATGAGCTAGAGACGTGAAATTTTCGGTGTTTTGTAGGTCTAGTGCTCAAACCCCCGGAAAAATCCGAAAAGTGGCATTTCCCCTTTTAACCCCCCCTAAATTAACAATTTCCCCCCCATGTTATTCTTATGAGAAATATCGTTGAAAAACACCAAATTTGGTAAGCTCATCTGAACCGTTTAGAAACGTGCTAGAGACTTGGAATTTGCGTATTATTGTACTATGGGATCTTACATTACTGGTGAAATTCGTAAAAACCCCATTTACAAAATTCTACCTCCCCAAAAAAATTCCATAAAATTTTCGGTTTTTGGAAAAACATGTTTTTTTAAAACGGCTGTAGCTCGAAAACCGTAAGAGCTAGAATCGATTTGAAGGAAAATCGTAGGTTCGCAATTAAATTTTCTACAAGACAGTTTTGTCAATGAAGGCGTCATATCGAAATTCGCACTCCTTCACCTTCAAAAAACGCTTTAATTCCAAAAATTGTGAAAATCCCCAATTTTTTTACGTGTTTTTAATTTTTAAGACGATTTTTCGTATATATATTTCCACTTTTTATGCTCCCAACATTAAAAGAAAAGTCCCCAAAGTGACCTTCTATAATTTTAACATACGGAAAAAAATTAAAAATGGTGAATTTTCAATCAAAAAGATAATTTTTAACGCATTTTCTTATGGAGAATTAGCATGTTTAGACAGGCATATAATTGGGCACTTCTAGACGTTCCAGGGAGTTGAAATTTGGCACGCATATGGGTCTTGGGTTCGAACGCCCGGGAAAATTCCGAAAAGTCGCCTTTTTCCCTTTCAATCCCCTTTATATTTACAATTCCCCCCCCCCATGTTATTCTTATGGGAAATTAAATTGAAAAATACAGACATTCGTACGCTCATGTGAACCGTTTAGAAACGTGCTAGAGATTTAAAATTTTGTAGTTTTGTAGTACGGGATCTTACATTACCGGAAAAAAATTCGTAAAAACCCCATTTTCAAAATTAACCACCCCAAAAATTTCTATTAAAAAAACCCATTTTTTGGAAAAATACGCTTATTTTAAACAGCTGTGGCTCGAAAACCGTAAGAGCTAGAATCAATTTGAGGAAAAAACGTAGGTTCGTAATTAAATTTTCTACAAGACAGTTTTGTCAAAGAAAACCTTCAAAAAACGCTCTACTTCAAAATTGTAAAAATCCTAAATTTTTTTACGTGTTTTTAATTTTTTAAACAACTTTTCGTACATATATTTCAACTTTTTATGCCCCCAACGTTGAAAGGAAAGGACTGAAAATCGTGAACCTGGAATTAAATTTTCTACAAGACACTATTATGATTTTTTCAGAAATTGCACATTTTCACCTTCAAAAAACGCCCTACTTTAAAAGATTGTGAAAATTCTATGTATTTATTACGTGTTTTTTTAAATTTTTTAACAACCTTTTGTAAATAATTGGTACTTTTTAGGCTCCCAACTTTGAAAGAAAGGTGCCTAAGGTGACCTATTACATTTTTTAACCTACTCAAAAAATAAAAGTGCCGGTTTTTCAGTAAAAAGGGTAGTTTTTATCGCTCTTAACACATTTGTAATGTAGAATTAGTATGCTTTGACAGGCAAACTAGACTTAAAAGTAAGTAGGTAAATTATGGATGTTTAACAACAGAAAAAGCTAGATAGTGACCAATCCCATCTTAATCCCCCCCCTCGATCATCCCCCTTTATAAAATGTATGTTAAACTGTAAAATAAATAGAAAATGATAAAGATTTTTGCAGAAGCGAGGTCAGCCCCCGAAGTGTACAAATGGGGGCCCATTCTTATTACTGATGATTTTAACCCCCCCCCCCGGCCCCCCAAGGGCCCTACTATAGCTTTTGCGATCTATACCCCTTAGATTGTAACGTTATTGCTATATTATTATCGCTAAATCTAGGTATACCGTAAATACCTAAGAAGGTTTTGGAGCACCAAACACACATCGAGACTCTAATATGTCAGGACTTGTTTAATCGTCTCGTAATCATATACCCTTTATGAATTACCTAGCAACCGCATAGTTATCATAATATTTAGACTCAGAAAACATTATCAGACAAAATCATGTCCCCCGAGGAACATTCCCACTACCCCCAACCAAAAAAGGGGACCTGGGGGCGGAGCCCCCAGCGAGCCAAAGGCGAGTAATCCCAATAACCCGGCATTGTCGGTGTAGGTCCTTATTGCATGTTCTCCTCATTGTACAAGCCAAGACGTTGTTATGGGAACAAGATACTGAGCGACAATTGTTTATTATTTTTTATTATTGATATTCTGAAGTATTTAGATGATTTTCCTTACAGACCAACTACTTTAACAGCTTACCTCATTACTAGTAATTTTTAGACCTGTGTCTATCACTCGATTTTGTTTGACTCTTATAATCTTCATTAGGTTATTACTTAACTTTTTATTTATTCTACATTTAACGGCTACTTTTAATCTGTACTAACTGATGTTGCCCTTTGTATAACTTTAAAGAGTTTCTCCGAATATGGTTTCCTTATACCAATGGATAATTTTTTTATCATACATATGCAGGGTTTGGAGAGACTATCTTGTCTCAAAACAGATTTAGATTTAACTTGAACTGCCATTGGTTGGTTAGGAAAACACTCTTTTCAAAGTTTTTTTATAAGGTAGACATGTATACTAAAAGGGGATAAATTACTCGTGGAGACTAAAAGAAACTTGAAAACGCGGGTAAAATAACTTAGATATTCCAAACTTTTATTTGTGATCATGATGAATATGAACAGTATAACTTTCAAATAACTTGTAACCTTATTTCATATTTTAGGAATTAACAGTTAACATATTACAATTTTAACAATTTCAATGAAAAATCTCTAAAGAGGTAAAAACCTCTTTTTCAGTGATTAGCGCTGCACCAGCTGATCGTAGTCGTAGTACCTTTATGTTGCCAACCTATTTCCAAGCGTAAACGGATTACATGCATAATAAAATCACGCTGTTTTGTGTTGTTTGGTTGGAATACAGTACTGGTATGCGACAAAGTAAAAAATGGACTACAAATTAAAAAGTTGCGGCAAAGTAAGTAAATGCAGCAATTAGCAGCTTTCTGTACTATAATCAGTGCAAGGAAGCCCACTTTGTCGGGTGACTGTAGGGAAAAATTATATTTATTTCATTTGCCTTTCATAGACTAAATTACCAACTATTAGAGTTAGCTTTACAAAAATTCAATCTCACAAAGAAATATGAGAACATTATCACAATTCTCACAGCTTCTACTCAGACACTAAGGTAAAGTGGTACAAAGGTCAAATATGACCAAGGCTAGTGTCTTCCTTTGATGGGAAAATTTGATTTTCAGTTTCTTTGACTCACAACACATCGAGTAGGTGGTTAAAGTGGAAACAGTTAAAAAAGAATTGTCAAGTTTCTATATCTAATTTCCAAGGTTTTGGATTGTAATAACTGCAGCATTTTTCACTCTAACTACTGGATAGTAAACTAAAACTAATTTAAGTTCAATAATCTAAAATTAACTACTGAACATCAAATTAGTTGATGATTTAAATATGTATGACATAAGGTCCATGTAAAAAATTTTAAGAAATGGAAACATCCATGAAAGAATAAACTATCACATGCACATTTAAAAACTTTTTGGATTTGTAAAGTCGATATTCACTTAAATCTTTTACAGTAACATTTCTGGGGTCCAAGTTGCAAGAGATTGTTGTAGCGCTTCAAATGTACATACTTAATTATTAAGATACACTGCAACAAATAATTGAATGAAGAAAGCTTTGATAATAATTATAGAACATATTATTAATACAACTCATTGATACAATGCAACAATATATTCTGATACTATAAAAACTTTATAAAATTGTCTAGGGGTGATCCCAAGACTGCAAATTGGGATCAAACTAAGATGGTTTGCCTCGCATAGTAATTTATGACTATTATTGCATTAAGAATGATTATTATTTTGCAAACACTCAATTCTAAATATTTTATATGTAAAACTAGTTACAGTTATTGTTTACCATATTCTGACAAGGAAACATTATACTACATTTCTTATCATGATAAAACACGTTTTACATTAATTCCACTACTGTTGTTTGTAAATATTGTGTTTAAGTAGTGTTTAGGCATAGCATATTTATCTATAAACTAAATTGTCTTGTCAAAAGCTAATTTTTAAATCCCTTCAAGCTTTCACCAAAATTTAGCTACATTAAACATTGATCCTATCTACCAGTTTTTCCTAAGCTGCATAATTAAACTTCCCATGTTCAATGTTTCGACGATTTCTGTTGTCTTGTACTAAATATTCAATGTTTCGACGATTTCTGTTGTCTTGTACTAAATATTCAATGTTTCGACGATTTCTGTTGTCTTGTACTAAATATTCAATGTTTCGACGATTTCTGTTGTCTTGTACTAAAGAAAAGTGTATATAAAACTGTTCACAAATATAAAGCTTGGCCTCAAAAATCCACGAAAATTCCAAGATAAAAGCTTTAAAATATTTTTTTGTGAAAATGAGATTAAAATGCATATACGCACTGAGACTCAAATGTTCTCTTTCACTACATTTTGAAATACCCTACTGTTGTTCTAGTTTGTAAATTACTAAGGTATATTCGGTAAGATTTGAAGTTGTTTTTTCTAACATCCAACATTAACATTAACAGGTTAAT